CCTAATAGGCCTACTTTGCTGGTACGTGCCCAACTCCTTCAAATTCACTTGAAACTTCGAGGATGTGCAGAATACGAGCGCCTGGTCGAGGCTTCGGCAGGGACCTTATGCATTCATCGACGCATCTGGAGTCAGCTTTCACGGGGTTCAGGAGTTTTTCGGGATAAAGCTTTCGTGGGTAGGGCCGGGGAAGTCGAAGGAAAGGACCTGTCGTCGGTTTCTTCCAGCTCATTAGGGTTCGTCCCCCGGGCAGCAACCTGTCTACCTTTGAGACTCCTGCAATTAAAAATGAATTATGCGATCACCAATTAAGCCCAACTATACCTCTCTTACGGCTGTTGTATGTGCAATAGCAGATTCATCGATCAGGCCAATGGAGAGAGAGAGGGAGAAAAAGGTCGTTGGGGTTTGTAAAGAGAAAAAACAAAACAGTCCGCCCTTCATACCCTCGTAAACTTCCTCTCTAAAGGGCTTGAGGTAGCTGCCCTCAGGCGTCGTGTAGACCTCATTCAGATCAGGTTCCAGCAATTTTTTCTTCATCTCTTCAGTTAGATACCAATCGATTTCACCAAACGGGGCGCTCCTGCAACAGGGGAAGAACTTATTCAGTGTGCAGATGCTCATACGACTGCCAAGCATTTTAAATTTCGGCACATTGCAGACACAGAGGGCGTGGAAGAGACGGGCTTTGAGGTCTTCTAGAGTCGCGGCACCCAGACGACCGACCATGTCATAGCCGTAGATGACAGAGACAAGATAGTCTCTAGTTGACTCTGAGCATTGTTCACTGGAAGGAGAAGGAAAAAGAAAAAAATAATTTGTAAGGAATCCGCGATAAAAAAAACCGGTGACTTCTTTGAAAAGAAACTGACCCGCTAACTGCTCGAAGCGAACCCTCGTTTGAGTGCAAGCACGTGAGGATCATGTCTGGTCTGTGTTAAAAGCCGACAATTACACCGACAGAGTGTTCGAAACTTCCTCTTAAAAGGCTAAACGTTTGCCTTAATGGTAAACGGAAAAGCCACTGACATCGCTAATACTATATAATATGCTTTTAGTTTAACACTTTCGTTTAGTAAATCTTGTTCAGATATGTGTATTATTAAGCTGGAGCTTGAAAGGCTGTTAACTAACGCTTTTTACCGGACGACACCATCAGACCAGTGTGCGTTGTGGATTTAGTGGCTAATCAGTTGACTGGGAGTCAAGCGGCGACGGCTCCTTCATAATGCCTGCTTTTATGGTAATCCTAGTGTTTGTGTCAAAGGTTCCAGGTCGCGTTGTGGCGCCCATAGACGTGTTCATCGACCCTGACTGGCTTAGACGGTAACCTGTTACCGGGGGTGGAAGAGAGCGATTGATGTCGACGGCTCAGCGCGCCTTCCTCGCTATAAACAATATGGTGTGCTCGAAGCTATAATGGTGCGCTAGAAGCAGTGGCTTAGAAGGTTGCCAATTGATGGACGAACTCGGACCGCGCGTCCAGCCTAGCGTGTGTTTGTATTGAGTGGCTGACTGGCGGACTGGAAGTTAGGCTGCAATGGTTCCTTCTTAATGTGGCCCGATTCAATCGCGATCCCAGTCAGGTGTAGTGGCCACAACAGCCACCTGCGTGATCTCTCGTCTCTGTTCTGCTTGACTCTGTCTTGGCACTGGACCAGGGTTGGGGAGTGGAACAGAAAGTGAAGTAGATGCAGTGCAAAGTATCATCCCTGCACCGCCCTGTTGTAAGGTAGACGGCGACATCTTCGAGCTCGACGGTCGAGCTGCCGTATTATTAAATACCTCAGACGAAATAAAAACTGCTGTTATC